AATTGTGCCCTACTTTGTTGTTTTACTATCAATATTTCAAACATGGCTTGTTTTGGCAAGACATGACATCCTTTTGGTTTTTCACATATTGAATTTGACAGAATGTCATCTCTGCGATATATCGAAACAATGCCATTTCTTTGATGTATCAAAACCATGGATAGTTTAGAGTATTCGACATATTGAAAAAATGGCAATCTTTTGATATATCGAAGAAATGGCATTCTTTCAATATATAGAAGCCATGGATAGTTTAGTTTTCGATATATCGAGGAAATTGCAATCTTTCGATATATTGAGGAAATTGCAATCTTTCGATATGTCGAAGAAATGGCATTCTTTCGATATATCGAAGATATGGCATTCTTTCGATATATCGAAGAAATGGCATTCTTTCGATATATCGAAGAAATGGCATTCTTTTAATATATTGAAGAAATGGCATTCTTTCGATATATCGAAGAAATGGCATTCTTTCGATATATCGAGGAAATTGCAATCTTTCAATATATCGAAGAAATGGCATTCTTTCGATACCGGTATATCGAAGCATTGGACAGTTTAGAGTTTTCGATATATCGAAGGTAGCATGTGCCATGTTCTTGATATATAATTTTCACTGACTGTGGCTGCCTTCAGACATGTTTTGGAACTATAACATTTTCCTCTTTTTTTCCCTTTTATTCACATGCCTTTTACTCACTTTGCTAAAAACAATAAATTTTGCCCAAATTTTTTAGCAGTTTTTTCCTCTTAGAGATTTAGTATCATTTTAGTCATATCTTGCAACTTGGAAAAGCTAAAATTGTTGCAAAATGTGTATGTTTTTGCTGAATATATTTCCAGTCATTTTTAACGTGCATTTGATGTGATTTTCCTATTAAAACATGAAATCTGTCATTGTCTACATTTGCAATTATTCTTATGTATTTAACCAATTTTTATCATGTTTGAAAAGAAATTCTTGTTTTCATGCAGAATTATTGCATTTATGTATAATTTCTCCACAGTCATGGCTGTATTCATTGCATTTTTTAGTGTTTTCTTTCATTTTCCTCTCAAATTCTGTTAAATAGAATATTGGACCCTATAGTAGAACGTGTTTCAGAACTGTTCCTGCACGTGCATCGCTGTCTTTGTATTTCTGTCATTGTCGGGTTATAAGATATCATGTTGACCGCTTAACAGGGTTCAATTGGGATTATTACATCTCCAAATTCGTACATACCAAGGATTTGTTTTGCTGACGTCAGCCTTTTCGCTAATGACGTCATCAAATCTATTAGGGTGATTGTTTTAGAAATCACATACAGTAGTATGTAATTCAATTTAATGAGCCATTTGGATATTTACTGAATTACTGTATTTATTAGAGGAATTTTTGTAACCATGAAAATGCTTGTGGAAATGTCTACAAGATCTGCCGTGTATATACTTTGAATATAAATATTGCGCAGGGAATATTGCAACTCATTAAAACAATCTGTTTTTCGGATAAAACTAGCCGAATTTATGAGGCATCGCGTAGTCTAAATTTAATTTACTTTTGAACAAGGGTACCAAACAATAACAAAAAAAGAACAAATAGTGACCACTTACAGCTGACGAAATCATAAACCAGCTGCATGAATGAGTGTCCACTATACCAGATAGAACATTTATAATTCTATATTTTCATTCGTTTTTCAAATTATAATTGATGCTTTTAACAAAAGACCGGTTTTGCTCGAATCATTTTGAGTTATGAAATCTTATGCGTGTTGGACGTAAACAGCATATCTTGTCTACAACTTTGAGAAGGTACAGATAATTATTTCTAAAATCCTTTGTCCTGGCTCTAATTCTATAAATTCACCAACCTCGTACCCAGGGTCTTACCTATGGGAAAGATACTGGTTGGGGCTGGTCACGTGACTTTACAAAAATATATTGGCTAAGGGGGACTGATTGAGAAGTGTTTTGGCTGTTTATTTGTTTCAAATACTTGTATATAATTGTTTTGCTCTTTAATAATCTCTTAAATAACTATCGAAAAATGTCTAAATCAATAATGCTAGATGTTCGTGCATGTTGTTTATATATTGTATCTCCGCTGACGCACCACACCGCCTGTAGCTCGTCTACACTAATTGACGTGTAGCTCGTCACGCACCGCTCGTAGCTCGTCTACACTAATTGATGTGTGCTCGTCACGTGTAGCTCGTCTACACTAATTGACCTTGTCTTCTCGAACAGACCCTCGACCTTACCGTATGTCAGTGTGGTGTCAACCTCCTTCAGCGACCATGATATGGTTAGTTGCATTCGTAAAATTAACTTCCTGAAGTACCCGCACCGAACCATTACATGTAGAAACTATGCAAATTACAACCCAGTGAATTTACTAAATGAGGCCTGGAATATTAATTGGTCACGAATTTTGGAAAACAACTCTGATGTAAATGCTGCGGTAAATTATTTCACTGCTCAAATGAAAGCACTTTTTGATAATCATGCACCCATTGTCGAGAAACGTGTCAAAGGTAAACCGTGCGAATGACTCGATGATACTGTTAAGAATGAAATGAATAAACGTGATCAACTGCTAAGGAGAGCTAGAAAATCGAACGACGAAAGCATTTGGCGGGAATATAAAAAGCAAAGAAACAAATGCAATAACGATGTTAAAAAACGCGAAAGCATCGTACCATCATCGCGTTTTAAATGATATTCGCCTCAACCCACGTAAATGTTGGAAAGCTATTAACTCAATTTTCCCAAGCAAACCAAATTCAGCTAACTCAACTTCAAATCATGATACTATGCATACCAAGGTTCAACAATTTGGCCATTATTTTGCTAATGTTGCTCGAGAATTAAAATCAAAAGCTTTTCCTTTGGTGAATTTTGCTTGGCGTCATAACAATAATACACAAGCTTTACGTACGAACCAAATTTTCAAGTTTTCATTCGTTTTTACAATCTTTGTTGAGAAAGAACTCCGATCATTGAAGCGAAGTAAAGCTACTGGTATTGACGACCTCCCTCCAAACTTGATAAAGGACTGTGCAACTGTGATTGCAAAACCCCTGCAAAATATAATAAATTTATCAATCAAATCAAGTACGGTGCCAGCTTTGTGGAAATCAGCCAAAGTGAAGCCTATATTCAAATCTGGTGACTCAGACCTAGTAGAGAACTTTCGACCAATATCGATACTTCCGATATTTTCCAAGATTGTGGAAAAGGCAGTCCACCGTCAATTTTACAACTTCTTGGAGAATAATAAACTGTTGATCGATTGCCAATTTGGTTTTCGTAGAAACAGATCTACAAAGCTGGCTGCCACATTGTTTTGCGATAAAATACGAAAAGAAATGGACAACGGAAAACTCATTGGATGTGTATGTGTGGACCTGTCCACGGCGTTCGACACTATCGGTCATGGTATTCTCTTGGACAAGTTACCTGCGTATGGTGTTGAAGGCCCTGAACTTGCTTGGTTTACAGATTACCTATTCAATAGAACTCAGTTGGTTGAAATGCAAAACAACTGCTGCAGGCCAAGCACTATTACCACTGGCGTGCCGCAAGGATCCATCGTGGGTCCTTTAATGTTTATAGTGTTTTTCAATGACCTCAAAGAATCAGTCAAGAATTCTGAAATCATCAAGTATGCGGATGATACGGTAATTCTATATGCTGATAAAGATGCGCAAAATATTGAGAATGCTTTAAACGAAGATATGAATCTGATTAGAGATTATTTTTATCATAACGAACTCCTCTTGCACCTGAAGAAGGGCAAGACTGAAGTAATGCTTTTTGGAACGTCGCAAAGGCTTAGAAAAAGTGGAAAAAACCTAAATATAACGTATAGCAACACCGTGATAAACTTCGTGACTGAGTATGTGTATCTTGGAAATGTGATAGATAACCATATGTCATTGAATGGAAATTTCAACCGATCATACAAGAGAGCAAGGGGTCGTCTTCGTTTACTCCAATCAGTCCGCAGAAATTTGACAGCAGCGTCAGCTATTGATATCTACAATATGACGATACTATCAATTCTAACCTAGTAGTACCATCAAAACAATTTTTACTGACTCTCAACTAGCAAAGTTTACATCGTTTGAGAGACGCGCGTGCAAGGTGATTGGCACAGAATCTATACAGAATACCAAAGAACTGGTACAATCGCAAATTTGTTCTATGGTAGAAAAGTGTCTCCAGAAGAATTTTGAACATGATACACTCGACAATTATTTTCAAGTGGTTAATCATGAGTAAGAAACGTGAAACAACAGCATTTCTATTAAACTGCCACGAATTAAGCTGGAATTAGCTAAGCAGAGCTTCTACTTCGGTGGAGCAAAACTGTTTAATTCATTACCAGCAACAACACGAAGATCTATGAGTTTGAAATAGTTTATCTTTCAAGACATTTTAACTCTGTAAATATTATATTTGTAAGATATTTTATCCTATTTGTCCATTCATATATAAGTATGTAATTTTTAGGCTTTATTTATTAACTTTTTGGCTACCTATTTTTGTTATTCTTGAGACTTTACAGGACAAACATTGATAGCAGTTTTTTATTTAATTAATTATTTATTTTTTACATAACTGACGTTTTTATCCTGTTAAAATATTCATCAATAATGATAATAATAATGCACATCGTAACATCTTCCCTTCCAAAAACAATAATCTAACATTAAGTTTATATATATATATATATATATATATATATATATATATATATATATATATATATATATATATATATATATATATATATATATTTACAAAATAATGGTTTAATTAATATTACAAAAACGGTTACATAGTTTGAAAGAACAAATGAATAGAAAGAAAGGAAAACAACTGTATAAAATCAGCTCAACTCGTCAATCTTCGTCTTAGTGAGACCATAAGAACGTCATTATTGCATTAAACATTAAAGTAATTAAATGTCAACAGTAATTCATTGTATATCCTGAACCTAAAGGTTGAGTCTCCCTGACGATTTGCTTATCCGTCCGCTCCTTGTTATCTTTACGGGTTGCGCTATTTCTGGAGTTGGCAGGCTGACTGTTGACTGGCTGACTGGTACAGGCGGCTCCTCTGTGGTAGTTTGCTGCAATGGCTGCACGGGAACCAAATCCGACTGAATGACTGGTGGCACTGCCATGGGTGAGGTTTCCAGGGGAGATTCAGCAGTACTATCCCTTGCGCTACATAGGAATTTCCGATTTCTGCGAAATGCTGAGCCATCAACATCGACCAAATACGATCTTGAGGCCACTTTGCCAAGTTGCCTCAAGAACTCGTCCATTTATTCCTACCATCCTTGGGTAGGCTGGCCATTCTGATTGGTTGACCAATCTTTAAATCTGGCAGCTCTTTTGAACCTGGATCGAAATGTTTTCTAGCCTTTCTGCGCTTCAACGTAAGCCTCAGCTGAACGTCTTGTTGGATCTCAGGCTCCAGCATGTGTGCTGCAAGTGGCAGTGTTGTCTGGGTTCTGTTTGACATCAGCCTTTGTACTGGACTACTGTCCATACTCTCTGTCGGTGTATTCCTATAATCCAGGAAGCTCATTCACATATCTCGTCCAGTTCTTTGTGCCTTCTTCTGTAGGGTTTTCGCAGATTGCGCTGCTGCCTCTACAGTACAAGCCCGTTGGATTGCTTGTGGTATGGAGAGGATGAAAAATGCTCGAACTGCCAATCATCGGCAAAATATGCATATTCTGTGCAGTCAAATTGTGAGCCATTATCACCGTAAACTCGATCAGGTATTCCATAGCGGGCAAGGTGCAGCTTAGTCTTATTGATAACGTCGGTGTAACGTTATATATTTTATTTATCTTATGCCGTATAAACTACAGTTAACTTTACTTGATAACTCAACTATACTCAGTCCTTGTTCAACGTTCCTTCGACGTCCCATGTGCTCGCATGCATGAGTCACGTGATATCCTTACATTCCGCATACAATAAGAAAGTTAATATTAATCAACAGTTTGAACACCGTCTACTCTCATGAGATAAAGTCAACTTTAAAATTGAAGTCTTATAACAACTACTAAGTTATTCTTAAGTCCTAACATGCTTTACTTATCTGTTAAGTGTATTGTTCATATCTACGAGGTTTCTTTATTGTTCTACCATATCTTGATCTGTCTCTTGATACTTCATTCGAGGGTAACGACTTTGTTTCGACTTGTTTCTCCGCTCGTTTCGTTGTGCTTACATTTTTGTCATTTCCGTCTTCGACTTCCGAGGTAATTTTTCTCAATTGTTTCCTGTTTCGTCTGTATTGAACTTTGTCCTTGGTTTCCACTATGTACGAACGAATTGCAATCTTTTCTTTCACCGTTGCCTTTTCTCCCCACATCAACTTCTTTTGGTCGTAGATTCTCACCATCTCACCTTGCTTCAGTGGTGGCAAAGGTTTGGCTTCTCTGTCATGATAAGCCTTCTGGATTTCTTTTTTCTTTGTTTTCCATGCAACAACTGCTTTGGAATCTTTAACATTGAGCTAGTTTTCTACAACTGGAAGATCTGTTTTAAGTGTTCTTCCCATCAGTAACTCAGCTGGTGACTTATGGTTGTCAAGTGGTGTTGATCTATATGCTAACAGTCCGAGATACGGGTCTGTTCCGCTTTCAATTGATTTGCTTATAATATTCTTTACTGTCTGGTCCGCCTTCTCGACTAACCCATTAGAGGACGGGAAATGAGGACTACTGGTAACATGTTTAAATCCCCATTTGGTCTTGAAATCAGCAAACTCTTGACTACTGTAACATGGTCCATTGTCACTATGAACAATATCAGGAATG